AGGTCGGTGTTGAATGTGTTTTCCGACCGGGTCGGGAAGACTAAAGAGGGCTGAATTACCTGCGGATGATATTCCGTAGCGACTGCTACAATGACGCGGTATGATAGTGGTATGCCTCTCTCCTCTTCCCCGACCCAGCACAACTATATTAATCTTGTTTTATATCTGGTCCAGTCACGGGCTTTCTTGTTACTGTCTTGCATTAAATATTTTAATATCTCGGAATACCGCCCCCTTTTCCGCACCTACCCTGGGCAAATCCTCTCATCATGTTGCGAGTTCTAGTCTGTCAAACACCTCTAGCTTTGAAAACTGAGAAATCGCTGTACTGTCAGTATAATGGCCTGCCTCTTGCCCCTACGCGTGATCCGGAGATGCTAAATGAGCGTGTTGGGGAAGACGGTTGGGGTGATTTAGGACTGGAGGGGTGGTCTGGTTGCGGGGGGGTTGGCGTAATTGCGAGGTTGGGGGAAGCGGGCGATTTGTAGATGGGGAGGGGGAGACGGAGGAACGGGGTTGGTGGTTAAGGAGGGGGTGCTTTTGGGTGAGGATGAGAGTGAGCGGGGAAGATTGTTGGATGTGGATCTTGGGGGGGATGTCAAGGGGGTTGCGCATGGGTTGTTTGCGGCGTTGAGGGAGTTGGATAGGCTTGGAGCGGATGTCATTTTCGTGGAAGGGGTCAGTGACGGCGACGATATCGCGGCGGCGGTCATGAACAGGCTCCGGAAGGCGGCGTCGGAAATTAGGTCTTAGATAGACGCATTAGACGTCTCCCAGGAAGCATTTTTCCACTCAGCAGTTTTGCTACCCGATGATGCGCAACTCGCCCAACCATTTTCATAAAATATTCTAGACTCATATCATAACCCCGTTCCCGTTCCCATCCCCCTACAACCCCTGCCTCAGCCAGTCCGTCAGCTTCGCCTTGCCTAGTTGCGCCAGGTTGTTGACGCCCTGCTCGCTGAAGGGGTCAATCCGGCTGAGGTTGACGTCCTGCGATGGCGCCTTGCTGCACCGCTGCACGATAATAGTCGGGTCCGTCTCGAGCACCACGCCGTCGTCGCAGATCTCGTCCACAGCCAGCGACACCAGGTCGTAGTTCTCGATGATGGTGCGCTTGTCGACTGACTGCTTGAACAGCAGATGCAGGCTATCACGCAGGGCCAGCAGCACATTATACAGCAGGATCTCGTTGTCGCCAAGGCTACCAACCACGTACAGGGCCACGTCCGACTCCATCTTGTATAGCACGATGCGGTTGTCGTAGAGCAGGATGTCGCCGGTCTGCTTGGCCGTCTTTTGGAGAAGCCCCTTCTCGAACCGGGTCTGGGAGGTCTTGTCGGGGTAGGGGTTCTGCGAGGAGCTGGCGGGGGCTGCGCAAGTCAATACTCGATTTGGTCTTTTGAACGAATTTCCTCGTCATTGGGTCTCGTACCGGCTCCTGCTGGGTTCGTTACCGCCTGGTGCGGCGGGGTGTAGTACTTTGTGAAATATCCGCGACCCGTCCTCGCTAGAAAGGATGACTGGCCGGTGTCAGCTTTGATCGCAGGCTATGCCAGGAAGCTTAGTCGCAACTGGTGACTGGGTCGCGAGTGTCCATACGGATAGCTGTTGACGCTTATACAGCGACCATTTCCTGCCGACATGTATGGCGGTATTTTTTAATGGTTACCCGGCTCCGTCCAAATATTCGTTGACACGGTTTGCTCGGGTTTGAGGGGTGCGCAAGTGGGCAGCGCGGGTTATCGTGGGGTGGGATGTGCTGCTGTCGTCGTTTGGCTGGTGCTTTGCGGCGTTCTGGAGTTGTGGGGTTCTGTTCTTGTCGCTGTGATGTGGCTTGACCTTTGGCTCCTTGAACTGCCCCACAATTCCAGGTCCGTCTCTTACAGGGGGGTTTTAATGGCCTGCGCCCAGTGCCCCTGGCGACGCGTAAAGTGGTTGGGTCAACGCGAACTTTCGCGTGTCTCCGTTTTTCCCTTGCGTTGACTTGCCCGCTAGTTATCCAGCCCAACTCAGCGTCCCACTTTCCACTTCCCCTGTCGTTAACACCCTCACCCCGCGTTTTTCTACACTCATCGTCACCGGCGTTCTGATCCCGTAACCGGAAAACGTGGCAGCAAAGATGTCGTCGCCTTCAAAAAGGTCAACACGCAGCTCTGCGACGCCCAACCGGGCAAGCCGCAGTTCGCAGCAACGAAGCAGCCCCGCGGCTGGCCCTTCCAATGCAGCTGAGAGGACCCCTCGGCAGACAAGGTCCTCGCAGTTGGCTTCGAGTCCGCTGTTTTATCAATCTTCGTCGCCTGCCCCCGGCGCCAACAGGGCCTCCTCTCCCCTTCGCCAGATGACCGACAGCCAGAGCACCGTCAACAACAATGCACCCAGCTCGCCCTTGCGCCAGCAGACAGAGACACAAAGCGCCGGTGACAGGACTCCCCGCGCAAGCCGTGGCCTCATTGGAGGTGAGACATCTCCCAGTGCCATATTGTTAAGCTTCGCCTAGCTAACCGCGCAGACTCATCGCCGATCCGTTATGACCCCAGCTCCAGCCCTGGCCACCAGCTCACCCAGCAATCCGATCTCCGCAGCGACAGCAGCGCGCTCTTTGTGAGCTCACAGCGAACGAACAATGGGAGATCCTACCGGGGTGACATCAACTCGGATGTTGCCCGGACGCCCCAGATACCGCGTCGCATTATCCTAGACGACTCTGGGCGTGTTGTCCAGGACGGTTCTGATGCCGCCTCATTTGCGAATAACAACCCTCAAACCTCGGAAGCCGACGCTCTTGGTGGCCCCAGCCAAAGTCTCGTCTGGGGTACAACCGTTTCGCTCGAGGACTCGTTCGCCTCATTCAGGGACTTTCTCAAAAACTTCACAAGAAAGTACCGCATGTGGGCAGACGGCGCCACCGAGGCCGACACCAATGGGGAACCTGAGGCTGATTCGAAGCCCTACTGGGAAGCCATGGAAAATATGCTGTTGCTGGGTACCAACAAGCTGTACTTGGACCTCCGCGACCTCAAGGCCTACCCACGGACGACGAAACTGTGGCATCAGTGCCAGGCCTACCCGACCGAAATCATCCCCGTCATGGATCAGTGCGTCCACGACTGCATGATCGAGCTTGCGCAGGCGGAAATGGCAAGCCAGAGAGCTGCCTCGCACAGCACGGCAGCCCTTAATGTGCCCCATGCCTCCCAGAGCTCCGAGATTGCTTTCCCCAGCTCCGATCGAGCCGAGGAGCCGTCGACACCCCGACCTGCTCAACGAGAGCAGATGACGCTCGAGGACCAAGTCATCAAGCAGCAGTACCTGGTTCGCCCCTGGGGCACTGACAAGTCCATCAACCTGCGAGAGCTCAACCCCTCAGACATGGACAAACTTATCTCCATCAAGGGTCTTGTCATTCGCGCGACGCCTGTCATCCCCGACATGAAGGCGGCTTTCTTCAAGTGCGGTGTCTGCGGACATTCCGTCTCGGTCGAGCTGGACCGCGGCAAGATCCGCGAGCCCACCGAATGCCCGCGTGCCCGTTGCAAGCAGAAGAACTCGATGCAAATCATCCATAACCGTTGCTGTTCGAGGACAATAGGTAATTAAGCTGCAGGAAACCCCAGATGCCGTCCCCTTGGGATTAACACCCCATTCGGTGTCTGTGTGCGTCTACAACGAGCTGGTCGACTTCTGCAAGGCTGGTGACCGGGTCGAACTCACGGGTATTTACAAGGTTACGCCGGTGCGCGTCAACCCGCGCATGCGGACGGTCAAGAGCGTACACAAGACCTACGTCGATGTGGTGCATGTGCAAAAGGTCGACAAGAAGCGGATGGGTGCGGACCCGACCACTCTTGACTTGGCTGAGGAGGAGGAAGCCCACGTCAGTGGCCAGAGTCTCGACGAGGTCAAGAAAGTTTCACCCGAGGAGGAGGAGAAGATCAGGGCGACGGCGGCCCGCCCGGATATCTATGATTTGCTCTCTCGCTCGCTCGCCCCATCGATCTACGAAATGGACGACGTCAAAAAGGGCATTCTTCTGCAGATGTTTGGTGGAACCAACAAGACCTTTGAGAAGGGGGCGAGCCCCAAGTACCGTGGGGACATCAACGTCCTGCTCTGCGGTGACCCATCAACCTCAAAGTCGCAAATTCTGTCGTACGTGCACAGGATCGCCCCCCGAGGCGTCTACACCAGCGGCAAGGGCTCCTCGGCTGTCGGTCTTACCGCCTATGTGACCCGCGACCCCGAGACGCGCCAGCTGGTCCTCGAATCTGGTGCGCTCGTATTGTCCGACGGAGGCGTGTGCTGCATCGATGAGTTCGACAAGATGAACGAATCCACGCGGTCGGTCCTCCACGAGGTGATGGAGCAGCAGACTGTGTCAGTGGCCAAGGCCGGCATCATCACGACGCTCAACGCCCGCACAAGCATTTTGGCCTCGGCCAACCCGATCGGCAGTCGTTACAACCCGGACATGTCAGTGCCGCAGAACATCGACCTTCCCCCTACTTTGCTCTCTCGTTTCGACCTGGTTTACCTCATCCTCGACCGGGTCGACGAAAAGGCCGACCAACGGTTGGCGCGCCATCTGCTCTCCATGTATCTCGAGGACAAGCCCGAGTCAGCACAGAGCGACAAGGACGTCCTTGGTAAGCCGAACCCCCTCCTTTCTTCTCCCCCACAAACCCAGTACTAACTTTCCGCCCCCCCCCCCTTCCAGCCCATCGAATTCCTCACCTCATACATCTCCTACGCGCGCGCCAAGATCCAGCCCAAGATCTCTCCGGAAGCGGGCCGCGAGCTGACCGACGCCTACGTGGAGATGCGCAAGCTGGGGCAGGACGTGCGGGCGGCCGAGAAGCGCATCACAGCGACGACGCGACAGCTCGAGTCCATGATCCGGCTGGCCGAGGCGCACGCCAAGATGCGCCTGTCCGAGACGGTCACGGCCGACGACGTCAAGGAGGCCGTCCGCCTGATCCGCTCCGCGCTCAAAACCGCCGCCACCGACTCCCAGGGCCGCATCGACATGAGCCTGCTGACCGAGGGCACGAGCGCCGCGGAGCGCAAGCGCAAGTCGGATATGAAGGACGCCGTGGTCCGGTTGTTGGACGAGTTGACGGCGGGCGGGCAGGCGGTGAGGTATTCGGAGGTGGCGCGGAGGCTGGCCGAGGGGGCTGGCGTGCCGGTTGAGCCGAGCGATTTTGCTGAGGTGATGAGGACGTTGGAGATGGAGGGGGCGGTCATGATTAGCGGCGAGGGGCCGAGGAAGAACGTGAGGAGGGTTACGGCGAGTGTTTGATGATGTAGAGATGAGGGTTATGGCTTATGAGTTGGTTGGGTCTAGTGTTCACATTTGGGGGGCGTATGTCTGGTTTCCAATCATGTTTCTGTCTGTCAAAGCACAAACTCGCATGCCACCGCGGATAACCTCCGAAGTTAGGTATAATGATCGAACACGATTCCAACCCCTGCCTGCCCATCACCCTCAGTACTTGTCACCCAATCCGTCGCCACTTGTGCCAGGAACGTGTCCCTTTTCAGCCTCTTTTTGCTTCGGCTTCTCCTTCTGCTTCCCCGTCTCCTCAGCTCTCTGTGTTGACGGCTCGCTCCCATCCATGACGACGGTCTTATCGTCACCCATAAATCCAGCATCTAACCGCCACTCCCGCAAGTCATCTTCGGCGTCGTTCAGAATTTGCCTCGTTTGTGAGGCATGCGCATATGGAGGTCGCACATCTCCTGGTACCACGGGTGTGTCATCCAGCAGCTGCAACAACCGCAACCCGTGCCTCGCAAGGATGGCTTGCTTCTCGGCGCGCTCGATCGTGGCGAGGAAGTCGACGGTGTACGCCTCCTTGAGTTTCTGCCTGGTCTGTTTCCATCAGTACAGCATCACTGATAATGATGTAAAAGTGAACGAAACAAAAGACGTACCACATTCCCCAACTGCGCCTCCGCCACCAAATTCTCCGCCTCGGCCCTCACCAGCTCCTGCTCCAACGTCACCAGCCTCGCACTCTGCGGCTCCTTAATCTTTAGCCTCTGAATCTCCTCCGCCACCTTCCTCTTCCCATCCCGACTCGGCTGCACGCTCTTCTCCGTATTCCGCACCACCTTCAACACCGCACGGCTCTCATCCAGCCGTGCCGCATAGGCCTCCTCCTGCTCACCCAGCTCCGACAACAACACCCCGATCTTGTCGCTCACATCCGACACCGCCGCATCATTCCCACTCCCGCCCCCACCACTCCCACCCGCGACAGTGTACGCCGCGGGCGTCTGCTCGCCCCACTCGGACAGCTGGGTGGCGATGGACAGGCGCTCGCGCGCGGCCGTCTCGTGCGCCGACACCAGCGTGTTGGCCGACTTGATCAGGCGGTAGAGGCGCTTGGAGAGGGCGGGCTGGGAGGCGCCGCGCAGCGAGTGGAAGGAGAAGGGCTTGCGGTGGGAGGAGGAGGCCGTGGTGGTGGTGGTGCCGGAGGATGTTGTTGTGGAGGTGGTGCCGTTGGAGGAGCGGTTGGAGGAGCGGATGGAGAGGGCGCGGTTCCTGTGGTGAGAAACAAAGGGGGGGGTGGTGGTTAGTTAGGGTGTGGAGGGGGGTTGGGGAGGGGGGTGAGGTTGGTGGTTTTGCTGCCACTGACCACTGGGCTGAGAGGGAGAAGCGGGTGCTGTCGGTGCTTCGGCGTGACATGGCAGGCTCGTGTTGAGAGTGGGTTGGGTAGTGTTGTTTAGGACTTGGTGACTTACAACATCTTGATGATTTGGGTATAGAGGGTGTTTTGTTAAGGTTTCGAGAATCACCTCTGTTAGGCAGGTCCAACACGGAGGGTTGTTTGCTGCTCCTTCCCTCACTTTGGTGTATGGATATGGTCCAGAGGGTGAGGCAGGTGCTCCAGGGCCAGATGCCAGGATGATTTGGTTCTCACAAGCGTTAGGTGCTCTAAGCTTGGAGTTTAGTTGGTTAATCAGTCACACTTGTATAGTTGTTGATACTGTTTTCAAGCCAAACTGAGACTTGAGTGATATGGATCTTGCTGTTATGTTGATGACTGAAGACGAATTATTATGGCCATAAGAATCCCGTCTACCTATGTTAGATGATAATCTGTATTTTTCCTTAGTTCTCCTAAAGCCCCCAAATCCGGCGGCAAGTTCTCCAAACCGACGTAATGTCTTTCATCAAGTTCGACTGTTCGTCTTGAATTGGAGGAGAGCTCTCTTTGGTCATGGGACGACACCATTAGCTTGTGACGTCATGGTTCATGACCCCTGCCCCACCGCATTTGCGTGTCATCCCTTCTCCCATTCTCATCCCATGTGAGTCGAGCTCTCTTCAGAATTGAAATAGATGTTATTATTTGGCCTACGCAGTAGGAAATGTCACCCCCCCAACCATAACATCGTACCTTATATATGCTTCGCCTTCTCGGTCCTCAGCCCATACGTTAATGCCGCCCGCAAATATCCAAGGTTTCCTAAATATCAACCTCCCTTAATCCAAGCGGAAGCCTGTGCTGTCTAAGATGTATCCTGTGACTCCCGCCAATAACCCAATATCATCACAAACTCCTCATGCCCTCCCTCCCTCTTGCCGTCCTTTCAGCTATGTCAATATCCCCGCCTGCTATAAACAACGGGCGTGCTCGTCCTCCTGAAGCTCGTCACACTCGTCCTCGGGCCTGGCGAGTAGTGCCTGCGGTGGCTAGAGTAGCTTGACCGAGGTGAGTCGTGGTGGCAATGATGATGGTGGTGGTGGTAACGAGGCCGCACAGGAATAATCTCCTCGTGGTAGTAGTATTTTTCTACGGGTCCCGCCCCGAAGCACATTTTGATTGTCTTTTGTTTTATTCCTCTCTTAGTTGGAGAAGTGAGAGGGTGTCTTTTTTTTTTTTTTTTGGCTGAGCAAGTGGTTTGAAGTGTGACTAACTGAAGTGGTTGTGTTGAGCCAAGTCAAGGTATGTTGAATGGCCACTCTCGAGAATCTTTAGGTCTGATGTTGGTTCACTGGGAGTTGACCAAAGAATTAAACTCGGAACTATCTCGACCTCTACATATACAGTTTCAATCCTTACGAAACCAAAAACAGGGTCCTGGCCTGACGCAAGTGGGATGGTGTGCAAGACCCTGAATATGCAAGTGCATCTCAAATGGCATTAGTCTGGCAGCCAAGACAAACTCACAGGTTCGATGACGATGCTTGGTAGTAATGGAAGTTAGGTTGTTTTGCAGAGTCTCGTGGATAACGTCACCTTGCAGACCCGTGTTGGAGAAATCACTCTCGCGGCTGGGCAAAAAGAGTCGAACTCCAAAGTTATGCCAGTACGAAGTAGATGTTGACCATGTCCCGACTCTAGCAACGAAAACACCAAGACCACCCTGAAATCTAAACAATCTTTACCCCATCTACATTTTTTTTTATCTCGTAGATTTGGTTTCTTTGCTCGGGTTCTTATTTCTTACCCTTTCCCAAACTTCTTGCTTTCAAGCTCATTTTTTTCGTTAAAGTACAAAAAAGTTAGGACGCCAAAAAGCTTGTGGGCTTTACCCCTGACTCCACGATATTGGCATCTCCACACCACCAATTCACAAACACAAAAATAGGATGGACTGGTATTTAACCGTTCCATCCAATGATGCTTGATCCGATCCAGGCTCGAACTGGAGACCTTCAGTGTGTTAGACTGACGTGATAACCAACTACACCATCGGACCTGTGCTTGTTGGATCCCGGCATTACTAGCTCGCTTGATGAACACCGGGTCAGGCAACGCATGCACATAGAGATCACAACATGCACATAGAGATCACAACCCCTTTTCAGGATACAACCAGAGAAAAAACCAGAGAAACCACACACACTGTCGCTGCTCCTTTCTAGCCACTAGATGACAGACGGAATACTTACACAGTACACAGAACCAAGAAAAAACCGACCATTTTCTAATAACCCGGCCCACACCCTCTATTTCTTCCTCGTGTCAAACTTCAACTCCAGATTCCCCACCAGCCACGCGCCAACAAACACAGTAACGGCACTGCCAAAGATAATCAGTGGCTTGCGCAGGGCCGCCACGAGCGGGTAGTCATATGTGATGACCAGCTCGCGGTCCCTAAAGTCGTCCACCAAGTTGCGTCCCTTGATTACGAGGGCAGTCCGACCAAGGGTGTCGAGGAATGTCCGGTGAAGCTCGACGCTAACTTGGCTGATGGATTGGGACGGGACGGAGGTGTGATATTTCACATTCCTAACCACAGAGTCAGTAATTTTGTAAGAAGGTGATGTTGGGTAGGGGGACATACTCGGCGCCTTCGGGAAGGATAACCCGGACCTGCACTTGCTCGTACTCGACGCCCTCGGGCTGCCTGGGGCCCTCGAGGAAGGGGACGTTAAGCACGAACCCCCCAGCGGCCGTCTGCCTCAGGAAGTTCTTGGCATCCGAGTTCCAGCCGATGGTAAACGGGTATTTCCACCCGCCAAAGACGGGGTACCGCGGCTTGACCTCGAGTAGGGCCTCGCGCTTGTTGCTCCTGAACCTGGAGGTCGACACGTTGCCGATAACGTCGGTGTAGTACGGATCGGCGCTACCCACGCGCAGGGGGAACTTCAATTCCTTGAGCGCGAAGGTGTTGGGCTGGTAGTACTGCGATTGTTGCCACTTGACGCGGTTGAACAGCGACGACAGGTTGGCGCCGCGGTGATACAGCGTGTAACGCTCCTCAAAGGCGACGTTGCCGCCCCAATGGCTGACCTCAATATCGCGCTCGAGGTGCGAGACGTGCGTCACGGGTTTGTTGAACTCGAACCTCACGCTAACAGGCTGGGTCGCGCCCGTGGGCTTCTCGTCAAAGGGGCCGTACGTGAGCTTGGATCCCTGCACCTGCGGGAACTCGCTGATTTCGCCGCTCCCCGGGATCTTGGTGTAGTCGGGGATGGTGCTCGACGGGAACTTGACTTCGGTCTTTTGCTTGGTCGTCGTGTAGGCGGAGGGGCAGTAGGCCGAGAAGGAGAACGAGAGAAATTGCGGCTCCTCCTGCTTGATGGAAGCGGGGAGGGGCTTGTACGCCTTGAGGAGGTAGTAGCTGATCCCGAGGGTCTGTTGCGCGCCGGGCGCAAGGGGCTTCGGAAGGCGAATGCGGAGGTACTGGATGTCACTGCGGGTAGTTAGCCTCCGAGGCCGAAAATCCTCGGGAAACCTCCTCTCACCTTTCCTGATCAAACTCGACAGCCTCGGCGACGAATGGCCCAGCGTTGCTGTCCTTGCGATCCTTCACCTCCACCCCTCCGAGCCGGGACAACTGGTCGGCCGTGAATGGTACAAAGTATTCATCTTGGGCCGCCTTGTCGATGTTCTGTACGAGCACGTTGATGTTCTCCTTCACATAGTTCTTCTCGACGGAAATAACGTGGACGAGATTGGCGTTCTTGAAAACCTGGGGAGGCTTGAAGGTGGCCGGGAGGGTGGTGCTGGTGGAGCTGCTCTTGCTGTCCGCGCTCGCGGCCGAAGCCAACGATAGCAAAGACAACAAGGCAGAGAAGACCGCTGACGTCTTCATCTTGGAAATGCCGACGGCAAGAGGCTCATGAACCTCACGCGCCCGGCCAATTGACAAGTTGCAGAAGGAGAGGTTGGACAGCAGAAAGCAAGGGTGTAGCCGATGATGCACCCTTCTGTCTTTGAGTTCTGGACCATTAATCGTGGCCTTCCAGCAACAGCAGCTTGCCAGCCTCGAAAAGCTTACGTTGCCGAAACACCCCTGTCGGCTTGAATTGGTGGGGCCAGCCCAGGTAATTCCAGGGGTTGATTGGCCAATTCACATCGAAGTCCTTTCCTCTCGGCAACCTCAACGAACAAAACATGAGATTCAATGATCGAAGAAATAGAGTTCCCCAACTCTGGTGTTGTCTGGGACTTGAAGTCCATGTCTCAACGCTACCAAGACATTGTTGGTGACGAAGTGGTGAGAGAAAAAAAAAAAAGAAAAGAAAGAAAGAAAGAAAGACGAAACACTGGAAAACGAAAAGCACCACAATAGAGCAGAAAGCAAGCTTTCTCCAATGCGCCTTCCATGGCCCTCGACGGGCAATTATCTATACGACCCGTCTCGCCCCAAGTTTCAACAGGCAAGTGCCGACTACAGATGCGCTCGAATCACTGCATCGAGTGATGCCTTAGCCCTGGGCTTTTACCTTTTTTCCTTTCTGCTATCGCCTATAAACTGATCACCTGCGCCGAAGCTCCTCAAGATGGATGGCATCTTACGGGATTTGTCACCATTTGACGAGGACGAGGCCATTGAACTCCAGTTATCTGAACTGAGCGACGATGATGCTGTCCCTCGGGCCGTGACGCCGCCACCTACTCTCCAGCAATTTCATGTTTTCCTAGAAACTGCGGAAGAAACCGCGGAAGACACCGTGTCTATCCTCCTGCGCCTGTACAACGGCGGGACCCCCCTTTTCACTAAGGAGGCTTTCCGAGATGCCGCCGATCAACTCGACCGCTACTTGGAAGATGCCAACTCGGAACACACAGTGTCGCTCGTGGGTCTCGATGGCACGCCGGTCCATTTCTGCTTCAGGGTTGGACAAGATGTCAGCAAAGGGAGCAAATTGTTTTGGCCAGGTTGCAAAATCGTAACGTAGGTTTTTAATCGCATCCCAACCGAGTCATATTAAACCAACAGTCACAACAGCGCCAAGCCCCGTCTTGACTACCGCGGCCTGTTTCAACTCATGTCAACTGACAGCAGCGAGCCGGGGGGTCTTGGACGAGCCTATTTGCCCATCGACATTGTCCAGGAAACAGAAATACGCGATGTCAAGACCGGTGAGCTGATCGTTCCTTGGCTCATGCTCAACCACGACGAGGTTCGGGAGCGGTTTTACCGGGACCTGGCTTTCTGGAAAAGAACCGTTCCGTTCAGTCACCTTCGATGGCTTCTTGGATCGACCGGTATCATTCATAACATCAAAAACGTCGTTGCATTTGGATGTGGTACCATTACGCGGCTGAAGGACCAGGAAATGCACCAGCGGAGCACCTCACAGCATGCGCTGATGCTAGAGGTGCGGGATTATATCAAGAAAACTCTTGGGGTGGAGGTCCAGTGCTTCGCCCAGGATCCGGCTTACACTTCGATCGACAAACAGGTCCTGGGTGAGCTAGGTATCACCGTTCTCGACGACCCGAGGGCCTGGCTCCAGGTGGAGAACGGGAGCGTGGTCATCGCCATTGAGCCAACCATTCCAACGACCGAGATCATCGCTGACATTGCAAAACCGGGTGTCATCATGATGCCCGTGCCGCCAGAAGAGTGAGTCGAGATACCTACTAGCCTGAGCAGACCTAACCAAACCCAGTGAGGTACTCGCCCCCCGTGTGGAAGACATGATCCACAACGAGTATGAGCTAAACGTCCTGGTCATTGATCCCATGGTCCATGGATACGACGCCTTTTGTGATGTCACTGTTGCTCTAAAGAAGGAGGGAATCAGAAAGCACCAAATAAGTTGGAATTGATGACAGCGGGAAGCAAACAGCGTACAAAGTACCCATATTATTCTGCAGTAGCTTTCTATAGATATGACTATGAGGTTGTCAACAACAGGGCGTTGTGTTCAGGGGCTCGTGGTAATCAACTACACGTTTAACCCTAACCCCGTGAATAATTCGTATAAGAGCTTGAGCTCTCCATCAAGCTCAAAGCTGTTGTTGGGGTGGGTGCGGGGTAACCGTTCAAGGAACTGCTCCTACTTCGGCCTTTGCGTTCTGTGCTGTGCAAGAAGGTGAGGAGAATCCCTGCACTTGTTGGATTGATAGAATAGTTTGAACGGCCTAATCGGTCTCAGTCAGCACCGTGTTTCAGTTGGGTGGCTGATGGAGTGAAACAGAGATCGATAAACAGCGAGCTCCCAACAAACAAACACCGCACAACAAAATACACCGATATCGATAGCGGCAACAACAACAACAAAACCAGCAACAACCAACTGTCATAGCCCAACATGGTCGGCCTCGGACCGAAACCACCTCCCTCTAGGAAGGGTACCGGTATGTGAAACCTGAACCATTCCAGTTTCGCTTATTGCGGCCTGACCCCTCCTTCGGTGTCGCGGTACACATAACCCATGTGCACTTCGCCTTGGAGTCTTGGGTGTGATGGTAGCTCTTGCCATTTGTCCTACACTTACCCTGGAAAAATTCACAAGATCACAAAGACCAAAATCATTTCCAGTTGGTCCCCCTTTCCTGTTCCTCTCCTGACCGGGGACGCGTGAAACTTGAGAGAGCAAGGCACAAGGGAAAGTCGGAATCCACAGCAGCCCTCGACGAGAACCTTGGTATCGAAGTGCTCTGTGACATCACATTCCCCTTTCGCAGTGTTTCTCTGCACCCCGTCCGATGTTCCTCTTCTCCACCCGACCCTTGGCATTATCTCCCAACGTTTCGACCTACATACCTATTTTACTACTTATATCTCCCCTTTGCCCTCTTGTTCCGGCCGCGTGAGGACAGAATATGGGAACCTAAGGCTATCGGAATGGCAACATCTCGAAGGCTAAGGAACCTACTTTATCCCGACCACCACCGCAATCACAATCACAACCTAGGCCACGACCGCCCTCTTTTATCCTTGCCGAGACGTCCCTATTACTCTCTCAGTCACAACCACCCGACCATTCGAGAGGGCAAGGCACTGTGTGCCCAGCGACCCACCCTTGACTAACCATGGCTGTAGGCACACTTGCCGATGCGCCCAAGGATCTCATCAATGAGATCAAGCACCTTGAGGAGCTCCTTACTATCGACAAGGTCAAGCTCAAGGAGATTACCAGCCACTTTGTCAATGAACTCGCCAAAGGTGAGTCCGGGTTTATTAGCGACCAGCCGACCAACAAAATACTAACTTGGCAATAGGCCTGACGGTTGAGGGGGGTAGTATCGTGAGTGAATGGTGCTAGGCTCACAAGGCGACTAAGACTGACCGAACCAGCCTATGAACCCAACATGGGTCATGTCGCAACCGACCGGCTATGAAACCGGAAGCTACCTGGCCCTGGATATGGGGGGCACCAACCTGCGCGTCTGCCAAGTCACCCTTACGGAGCAGAAATCCGAGTTTGATATTATCCAATCGAAGTACCGTATGCCGGATGAGCTGAAGACGGGCGAGTCTGAGGAGCTCTGGGAGTACATTGCCGACTGCCTGCAGCAGTTCATCGAGACACACCACGGCGATGCGTCCAAGCTGGACAAGCTTCCGCTTGGCTTCACCTTTTCCTACCCTGCCACCCAGAACTACATCGATGAGGGCATTCTCCAGCGCTGGACCAAGGGCTTTGACATCGACGGTGTCGAGGGCCACAATGTGGTGCCCATGTTCGAAGCTGCCCTTGCGCAGAGGGTGAGTGGCTGGCACAGGCAATGGGCATCGTGCGAGTATGCGCTAACCCATCCCTTTTTAGGGAGTACCTATCAAGCTGACCGCCCTCATCAACGACACAACGGGTACACTCATTGCCTCGGCGTACACCGACCCTAAGATGAGAATCGGTTGCATCTTTGGCACGGGTTGTAACGCTGCCTACATTGAGAACTGCGGTTCTATCCCTAAGCTGGCCCACCTAAACCTGCCGCCCGAGACCCCTATGGCCATCAACTGCGAGTGGGGTGCCTTTGACAACGAGCATAAGGTGCTGCCTCGCACGCCCTATGATATCGCCATCGACAAGGATTCTCCTCGCCCTGGCCAGCAGGCGTTCGAGAAGATGATCGCGGGTCTTTACCTGGGTGAAATCTTCCGCCTGATTATGGTCGACCTGCACGACAAGAAGGAGGTCAACATATTCGCCGGCCAGGATATCTCCAAGCTCCGGAAGCCGTACTCCCTAGACTCATCCTTCCTGTCGTCGATCGAAGAGTACGTTGATCGATGCTCTAATATCGGTTCGCTTGCTAACTCGGTACAGGGATCCCTTTGAGAACCTCTCGGAAACGCTTGATCTCTTCCAGAGCAAGCTAAACATCAGCCCGAACCTCCCAGAGCTGGAGCTTATCCGCCGTACCTCGGAGCTGATCGGCACGCGCGCGGCTCGCCTGTCGGCGTGTGGTGTGGCGGCCATCAGCATCAAGAAGGAGTACGCCTCTTGCCACGTGGGTGCCGACGGCTCCGTGTTCAACAAGTACCCGCACTTCAAGGCCCGCGGCGCTCAGGCACTGCGCGAGATCCTGGACTGGCCCGAGAAGAGCAACCCCACGGACGAAGATCCCATCGAGATCCTGGCTGCTGAGGACGGCAGTGGTGTGGGTGCCGCGCTGATTGCTGCGCTGACTCTGCAGCGCGTTAGGGAAGGCAACATGCACGGCATTCTCCACCCTGAGAACTTCAAGTAGACACTTGGGTATTTCTGGGCGCCATGGTACATGCCAGCATGCGTTTGAGTGCATTGGCGAACTAGCTTGGGATACCGCCGCGAGCAATGGCTACCATCTCTGCACCTGCATAGCACGACTGGGGAGACTTCGGGCCGCTTAGCGAGGGTTTGGGCACAGGTTACTCTGACCGGATATCAACGATCTTGATAGCTAACGGCCATGATACAATCGATTGAAGCGTACAAGGATGCTATCCTGATTGGTTGGCAATGCTCTGTGATGCGATGCGATGCTATGCTAACGTCACTCATAAACACACCCCTTTAATTCCCCTTCGTTTCCTCCTCCTCCTCCTCCTCCTCCTCCTCCTCCCTCCTCACCCTCTCCGCAACCACCAGCGCCGCCCGAAACGTATCCACCAACTCCTCCTCCGCCTCCAGCCCCACGCTCACCCGCACCTGCTCCGCCTTGGCCCCAAACGTCCGCAGATACGCCGCCGCCTCCGGGTCCGTGCCCCAGATGGCGTCGTTGAACGGGAACGCCAGCGTCTGGTGCGCCCCCAGGTGCGGCCCGTGGTACACCGACAGGTGGTCGTAGAACGCCCGCGCGACCCGCAGCGACGTGAACTCGATCCCCATCAGGCAGCCGTAGCCCGGCGTGAAGCCTTTGCCTTCCCCTTCCCCTTCTGTTGTGGATGGTGGGCGCATCATGGCCGTGTAGTGGGCGTGGGTGTTGGTGAAGGGCGGGTAGAGCACCGCGGTGATCGCGGCCGTGGCGGGCTGGGTGGCGGTCGAGTGCTGGTGCAGGAAGCTGGCGAGTGTCATGGCGTTGCGGTTGAGGATGGCGGAGCGCGGGAAGTAGTCGTGCGAGTTGGAGAGGAGCTTGGCCGCGTCGGCGTGGAAGTATTCGTTGCGGAAGTGGCTGGTGAGCTGGGCTTTGAGGGGGTGGTAGTGGGGGGAGGTGGGCGGGAGCGTGATCGCGCCGCCCATTACCTGTTGATGGGGGGTGGAGGGTTAGTTTAAGGGGTGGGAATGGGGGAGAGGGGGTGGGGGAGCGTACGTTGGCGTAGCCGCTGAGGGACTTGGTGGTGGAGGTCATAATCACGTCGGCGACGGATGAGACGTCAATGTTGCAGAAGGACCCGATCGTGTCATCTATCACGACGGGGACGCCGTATTTGTCGACCTGTAGGTCGGTTAGTGGTGGCTAGAGGGCGAGAAAGGGGTAGTTCCCGCGTTATCACTCACAATCTGCCTCAGCCGCCGCAAATCCAGGCTCACCAAGATCGGGTTGCTCGGAAACTCGGCGAAAATATACCCAACCTTCCTCCCGGCAACCTTCTCCCCCTCCAACCACGCCTCCAGCGCCTCCATCACCCCGCTGTCGGCATCACACTGCCCGAAATGCTTCATCCCACCCTCATTCTCAAGAAACAGATGATACGTATTATGAAACACCGACCCCAGCACCACCACCGTCCCCCCCTCCCTCGCCTCCACCAACGCCAAATGTAGCCGATAAATCGCCGCCATCCCCGTCGGATACAGCCAGACATCCCCCTCGCCCACCACCCCGCCACCACCCACCAACTGCGCAATCCGCCTCCTCAACCCAACATGCCCCTCCCCCATCGGCAACCCCCCCTCTCCCTTTCCCCCCGTCGTCTCCAACCCCGGCACGTCCCCCCACCGCTCCCCATCCCCCTCCCACTCCACCACCCTCACCCTGCCCTCCCCCACCGCCGGCAACAGCCCCTCGGCCAGCCGTGACGAGATGCCCGTGCCATACGTCTGCCACACGCCCACGGCGCCGGGGGCGTTGGCCACGGGGTAGGCGACGGCGTACAGGCGCACGACGGCGCCGTGGTGGGTTGTGTCGTGTGTCTCTGGTTCTGGTTCGGAGGCGAGGGGCAGGGTGAGGGGGATGTCGAGGGCGCGGAAGAGGAGTTGGGAGGGCGGGATGCGGTGGGCCGGGTTGGTGCGGTGGTGGGAGGCGGCGTAGCGGGCGGCGGCGGGGATGGTGTCCGGGTGGGGGAAGAGGATGAGGGCGTGCGTGGGGGGGAGGTGGAGGTGGGGATGGAGGGCGGTGGTGAGCTGGGAAGGGGGGGTTAGTATGTGTTTTGTTTGTTGTGTTGAGGTGGTGAGGGTTAGGTTGGGTGTGGGTGTGTGTGTGTGTGGATGTACTCACCTCGCGCACCTTACCCCATGGCCCGAAGCGCGGGTAGATGGAGGTTAGCTTGCCGAGCAGCTCGGTGTCGCCGCGCCGGAGGGCCTTGGCCGTGTCCCAGCCAGGGATGTGGAAGGTGATGTTGTGAGGGGCTTCCGGGGGGAGGGAGTGGCCCAATTCAGTGTTGATTTGTTTGACGGGCATTTTCAATATCTTCTCTCTCTTTTCGTTTTCGTCCTTGTTGGTTGATGCTGCCGGGAAAGAAGGGCGTGTGTAAAGAGAGAAAGGTAAGAAGAATACTAAAGGAATGGTTCCTCGACACAGGCAGAGAGTAAGCCGGCAGCCTCGCTCAAAATGGTCAATACTGCGAATGGTCAAAATGTGGACATCAAGGTGTTTAAAAAGGACGTCCGATGTCGCATCGAGACCCTCTCGGGCACCTCCAGCTCAAGCCTCCCCGACGGCTAGAACGCCGAGTGGAGGCCCGGATCACGGCATCGCGGACTAGTCAAGAAGGGGTTGCTTTTCTAAAAAAAAATTATCTTGCGTTTCATTGGGCAATTATTCAGCAGTCTGGTTTCAACTCACATCGGATGGCGGATCCAGCGGGAGTGGAGTTCACCGAGGAAGCCCCCGTGTTCCTCGTGGGCCGGTCACTTCTCGGCGACTATTAGGCCCAGAACCCTTAGGAGTGTTGATGATGCCCGTTGTTGCTACAGTAGGTAGATAATATAGTTTACCGGTAACCATGCACAGATACTCCTGAATCCCCTCGCTCCCTATGCTTGTTCGACAACACCACGGACAGGTCCCCCAAAGCAGACTTGCGCCATCAGAACTTTCCGAAACTCAAACACCTTCAAACCCAAAACCCACGATACACTCACTACCCTACCAGAACTCCCGACTCTTCCCCTCAAACGCAAAGTTCAGCGCAACCGCTGCAAACAGGGCAGCGCACAAAATACTCGGGCCGACCTTGTCGTAATACTGAGCCACCCTGCGCGTGCGGATGGCGCTGCTGCGGTACAGGTAGATGACGACCGAATAGCACAGCGAGAGGAGGGCGAGCAGCGTGAACGCGCTGGCGGCGACGAAGGACGCTCTGTTGCCGTGCTCGGTGCTGAAATTGAGCAACGTCACGGCGATGGTGCCGATGTAGATGGAGTATTCGAGCTGCGAGGGTTAGCTATTCGGTAAGTCATGGCGGGAAGGGGATATCGGCTTACCCATCCTAGAAAGGTCCTCTCGGCCGCGAAGTAGACCTTGGGTTCGACGCGCACGGGGACGTATATCTTCTTGCCCTTGGGCGCCTTGAACCTCCTCTGCTGGATCTCGCCCGTCCCAAGAAGCGACTCGAGCCGTGCGTTGCGGGGGACCTCAGTCGCCCGCGGCCGCGGCACCAGCGATTTGAGCAGCCACCACGTGCCGCGCGCCGCAGCGTTGGCCGACGTCGAGATGCGCGTCTGGACGTACGTCCAGCCACCCACCCTGCGCGCCTCCTCGAGTCTGTCCTCGTCATCCTCGTCGTCCGAGTCGTAGAGGTAGGTATCCTCGCCCGTCGGCCGGTCGACCGTCTGGTCTTCGACATCGGCGGACAGAACCGGCGCCCGGCCGTTCCTCGCGGCTGCGGCGCTGGATTCGCCAGCTTGGGCGCCCGAAGTTACAGGCCGCTGCTCGTCGTCCGAGTCGTAGTCGTCATCTTCCTCCTCTTCATCATCCGATATCGACGTCGTGGCCGAGTGCTCGAGTCTTTTGATGCCGAAGTCGTGCGTCACCGGCTTGCGGATGTCGACGTCCATCTGCGGCATCCAGAACGGTAGTAGGTCTATCCTCTCAGGGAAGAGACAGGCTACGCCGTGAATGAACTTGGAAAACTTGGGGACCGCCTCAACAAGGTGGCTGGAGATCAGCTGCCGGACCCACTCCGGCGGTTCCTGTCCGAGCTGTGTCTGCAGCTTGACTTCGAGAATGGCGTAAGGGAACCGGACGACGTCTCCGGGCGGGAGCTGGGAGAATGGGTAGTCGATGCCAATGTCTGTGCGCCGCCAGTTGTTTCCTGATCTTGTCACCCCGTCGAGATTGTCCTCGCGGACCATCGTGAGTTCGGTATCGAGCGAGATGCGGACGCGCGCGTCGGCGGGAAGCTGGAACGCCGTGCGGTGATAGAAGGACCGGCACACCGGCTTGTAACCCTTCTTGAGGACAGACCACTGGATCTCACGGGCCAGCCTCTCATCCTCGGCAATAGCCTTCTCAGACTTCTTGCCCTCCTTCCGCGCCTTCTCAAAGATGGCCGCCGGGAGGAGCTCGCCTCGCAGGTAGGCGTTCACATTCTTCTCCTTGACCGAGAAGCGGGCTTTCACAGACTTCTCGCCCGTCCAATCTTCTCGGTGTGTCTTGCGCTCGACGAAAATGGTTTCGTTCTGCATACCGCCGTACCAGCGTAGCCGGATAGCCTCGGCGCCTTCTGTCTTTTTAAGCCGCCCTTCGTAGAGCTCCCAAGTGTCCGGGTTGTCGTAGTAAATGGATGTAATAGCCGAGTCCTGTGCCTCGAACTCCTTGCTCGCATTGAAAACGAGGACCGGCAGATGCTTAAGGATAATGAGCTTGAGCTCCGTCACGTTGTCGGGATGCACCCAGTATTTCGTCGTGTGCCGGACAAAGCTGGCCTGGCTTCCGCCGGCAGCGCTGTCGCCCTTGACAGGGTTTCCTCTCGTCCGCACCAGATCGTAGAGCTTCGAGAGCTTTACCACCGACGCGTCGTAGTTCTCCTTGTAAAATGGTTTCGCCTTGAGTCGGGTGTCGAAGACGGGTCTTAGATGCCATCCGGTCATTTTCTATCGCGTTGTCAGTGCTGTTTCCTCCGATGTCCGGTATGGTCCAATGATGCTCACATCGTGTTTCTTGATAATCTTGTAGAACCCAGTGTAATTGAGCTGCACAAACTTGGCGAGGTCGTGGACGTCGGCGATAATATCGCTCAAGTCCTCCTCGAGGAGCATGAACTCTTCTTCGCTGGGCCCGTCCTGGCCGAGGCCGCGCTCGTTAAGGCGGTTAACGACATCGCGCACCTCGCGCTCGCTGACGGTGATGCGGCGCGAGATTTCCATGGCCTTGACCTGCTGCTTGGAATGGACCTTGTCGAGTTCGGACTCAAGCTTGCTCACGAAGCGGCTCTCATCCTCCTCGGTCCACTCGCGCCGCTGCGACTTCCCAGATTTCGCGCCGTCGTCGGCAACGGGCTGGATGGGCCCGCTAGGCTGCTTGAGGTCGGCCTTGAGGCCATCGTAGTCGATGTAATACCATTGATATTCGCGGATAACGCTCGAGCGGAGCTGCTCGCCAAACTTCATGACGACGACGCCGGGGGGAGCTCGCCAGGTGGGATCGCGGATACGGTTGCGTGGCGAGTGCAGATGTTGGGAACGAGACTTGAGGTCGTGAACGATCAGCAGCATGGGGTGGCGGGGCAACAGCTCGAGCGGTCAATTGTAGCAAAGCCGAGGGCCCAGAGGTCGCCACTGCTAGCCAAGCCTCGTCTGTCTCGAGCTTGATCCTTGAAATTGGAGCTCCGTTTCTTTTGTGTTTTGCTGAAGCTCCACTTGCCGTCTTCGGATCACCTGCTCGAGGTCAATGCCTCGTTTCTAGGTACCTAATGGCTAATTGAGTGTTACTGCCAGACGACAGAAGCTCCGACATAGAGAAAACGACAGCTTCAATCTTCACCCGTGACGCTGTATTCGTACAAAACCCAACCTCCATACATTGCCGCGGGCACAGCGAGTCTTTGTAGCGGCGCTGGCAAAGTGAGCACGTGGACAGACAAGCTCTACGATTGGCGAATTGCGATCTAGGCTCTTTCCTGTAGCATTCGGTGGGGCTGGCGGACCCTTGTCTTGCTGGAGCCTCCGAAGCCAAGGCATGCACGCAGCAAGAGCCATGGGTTTGAGTGGTCGCAGTTTTGAAGATCGGAGCCATCCGAGACGGAGTTTCTTCAAGCAAACAAAAGTACTGTGTACTTCGTCCTCCGCAGCATTACTTGGTTTGATAACCGGAGGTACCTTAAGGCATTGTCTTTTCTGATTAACTCTAACACTACAATTGATGATGGATATATGTGCACGATCCAAGAGTCGCAATTGAAAGATTGTCCGATTTCAATGACGGGTGGTTGGGATCTGTTTGGTCATCAGTTCGGATCATTGCTCACCGACCCGTCTGCCAAGGCAAGCCACGAACTCTGGGGACTGCATCGTCCACTAAAATCACTTCTTACCAGACTAGCTGCTGTGCTTATGTGTGGACGAGGTAGGCAGCGTAAGCTGGTAGACAGCTTGGGGTTCGACGACTTCGTACCCGTCTTCATTTGCGTAGGTTTGGGCTCTAGCCCAAGACTCGACATCTAGTATGGGCAATGGTGGTACCGTTTCGTCGGTCGGACGGAGGGTACCGCGACGTTGCTGTTTGTAGTGTTCCTTCAACTGGTCCCTCAGAGCGTATGATTGCTCTCTGGCGTGGTCCTGCGCGTTCCTGAAACTTTTTCGTCCGTCCTTGTGACCTTGATAAGTGTGGGTGAGGTTTATTGACGAGATAGGATATTGGTGGTATTCGAGCATACCGTCCTCCGTTTCGGCAGCGTAATGTGCGAAGAGGTTGAGGCTGTCGCCATCTGTGGTAAATGTTGAGACTTCTGCGTGACCAGCGGGGTCAGCTTTTCCCATGTAGGCGAGAGCTTGGTTTCTTGCGTGAACCATCGCGGCTCCGTTGTAGGCGCTCTGCATTCTCGCTTCTCTCGTGTCTCCCGCGGGACCCTCCCACTCTCCAGCTATTTGTGGCAGGGTGATGGAGCGGGGCTCGTCTCTAAAGACGGCAGTTCCTGGGGTTCGGTCGTCTACGGGGAGCGGCCGGTATTCTTCTGCCTCTAGTCCCTCGACGAAGTCAGGCTGTGGGGCAGACAGGCCATTGTTGAACCCGAGATCTCCTGGAAGATTCGTGAATGCTCGGTTGAAGGCTTGGCGGTAGCCCTCAGAATGATCCTTCTTCATCGGTCCGCCCATGTAGTCGATTACGGTTGCTTCGTTACCGGCTCCCTGGACGTTTCTGACATAGCGGTTATAGACTGATTCTGTTGGGGAAACGGTGCCACGGGATTTGGCTTGTCATCTACGGAGGTCTTGAGATTCGTAGGTGGCTTGGAGGATGACAGGTCGAGGATTCCATTATTTCGGGTCTTGATAGCAAATCTAGACGAAATTGTCGACGTGGTCTTCGTCGTGGACGAGTCGTCCGTAGGGTCCGAGGTCTTCTTCTTACCCATCTTGTCGAACAGGGCCAAGTTCTTCCGTGTCAATCGTGCTGGCGCCGAGGGTGGTCGCGTCGTCCGTCGTTTTGCCCGTTTTACCCATGGTTGGGCGTCGTCGTCACTGTCTAGCTGTCGTTTTCGTGACGGCGGATTTGCTGAAACTCGCTCTTCTGGGTTGGCGGGAGTTCAGCTTGCGAAAGCCTCAGGGAGGTTTGTTCCTGGCCCATGGCGAGGAGAGGCAGAGGAAAAGGCTGGGTGTCAGGGTGGTCGGCCAAATAAGTCTTGTATGTAACGCCTCGTTGTCTCGAGATTTGTTTTCGGTGCGGTGTTTATTGTAGACCTGCATTGATCGTGGTAGTGACAGTTCGTAGTTAGTGTCTGGAATCTTTCGTTTGACTTTGAATGGTCCAATCTGTTTATAGTTAGGTTTATCGCTTTGTCTTTGTCGCTTTGTTTTGATGTTTTTTTTGCGAGCGAAGTGGGCTTTATCTCCCGCCCCCTTGGTAGCCGTGTGCCTTGGTTTCGTGAACTTCCTTAATCGGTCGGGTCTCATCTCTGGCGACGGTAGACACCTCATATCCTATCGTCAGATTCTCTTTCAAGTACTCTCGCAATAGGTAGTCAACTCTGCTGCAGGGGTATATCCGGCGGTGAGGGGCAGATGGAGGGGCACATGGAGGGGCACATGCAAATCCGATCTGCCGTGACTGTCCGCCTATTATTTCATCATTACAATTACTCCCCACTACCAAGAATTAAAGAAGCGGTTCAGATATCTACAACCAACCTTTTATCATAGGTACCATCCCTAAAAACCTCAAAAAAAAAAAAAAAAAAACCCACAATGTCCGACCCCGACCACGACACCATATCCTCCCGCATCTCCCCCTCCTGTCCGCCCGACAACCAGCGCGTGCTGACGGCCGCCTGGGCCCACGACCTCGCCGCCGTCAAGAAACTCCTCGACACCCCCGGCAAGGCGAGCGTGCAGGACCCCATCACGGGCGAGACCCCGCTTCACGCCGCCATCCGGTCGTGCGGTCCCGCGCCGTCGGAAGAGAACGGCGACGGCGACGACAACAACGAAGGTGACGACCCCGCCGACCTAGAGGCCGCCAAGAAAGTCGTCTACGAGCTGCTGCTGTGGGGCGGGATTTGGAACGATGTCGACGATCGGAACGAGACCCCCGGCTGCGTGGCATATCGGCTAGGGCGCAAGGAGTTGTATAACTTGTGTGTGGAGGCTGGTGTGCGGGCTGAGATGTTGTTTGGCGTGATGGAAGGGTATGAGGAGCTGGAGAGTATGGATGGGGAAGAGGGGGAGGATATTGAGGTCATCGATATGGATGTTGACGATGGGGAGATGGTGGTCGTGGGCGAGGACGGAGAAGACGCCCCTGCGCTGGTTAATGTCAAGCCTAGTGGGCAGAATAAGGTGGAGGGCGAGGAAGAAGATGAGGAGGAGGAAAGCAAGGAAGAAGAGGAACCTCGGTTTCAGCCTCCCAACGACGATATAGAGGCCGACGTCACTTCCGAGGCATATTTACGATCGAAGCTGACATACTCGGACGGCAAACTGGTCGACGACGACGGCAACGGTGTCATGATGGCTTGGGAGACCGATATCATGCGCCAGAGCGTTGACGCTTTGTTACCAAACAAGGAGCCAGGGAAGCGGATTCTCAATATCGGATTTGGCATGGGCATTATCGACACCATGTTTGCCGAGACGAAGCCTTCCACGCATCACATTATTGAGGCCCATCCCGAGGTTTTGGAACACATCTCTAGCTCCGGTTCCAAGTTTGGCTCCGCCTGGGAAGAAAGCGGCCCAGCCCCGGGTGCTTTCAAGGTGCAAACAGGGAAATGGCAAGAAGTGTGCCAACGGCTTATCGGGGAAGGGCAGATATACGACGCCATCTACTTCGACACCTTTGGCGAAGACTACTCTCAGCTGCGCAAATTCTTTACCGACTTTATCCCAGGCCTGCTAGATGGCGAAGGCAGATTTGGCTTCTTCAACGGCCTCGGCGCGGACCGCTTGATCTGCTATGACGTTTACACCAAGGTAGCCGAGTTGCACCTAACAGACGCTGGCCTAGATGTGGATTGGAACGTAATTGACGTCGACATGTCGCACCTTGCCGAGGCTGGCAAGGGCGAGTGGGAAGGAGTAAAAAGGAGATACTGGACTCTGGATAGTAAGTGTTTTCTTTTACCCGGTACTTGATGGTGGCCACAAAGCAAGTGACCGAGCCAATTGCCAAAAAGTTGCTTGTGGTTGGCAAGCGGGTTGGATCGTTTTAACGGCCTCAACGGGTGAAGTTGATTTCCTGACACGTCATAGAATATCGCCTACCGACTTGCACATTTCTAGGTTGAGCAGCCCGATTCTAGCAAACGCATTCACACGACCCAACTGGCCGGAAAACCGCACGGGCAAGGGTCCGAAGGTCACGCAACCTTCGTGGGCCTCGGTGTTTGCCATGCATTGACGCGCCTCGCTCACAGCCCTGCGAATAGGAAACCTCCCCCATCGCGGGTACCAACCTAGAGTGCGCAATCATGCAGATGAATCTGACCCCTTCATTGGGAATCAAACTCACAGGACAGAGCAGAAGCAATGCTTTTGGTTGAGAGACAACTGCTAATGGCCTCGATATCCGCACTTCTGGTGACCTTGAGGCTTGCGTCTCGTCCTTCTTTCTCTCCCACCTTGGACTTGCTCCGGTGAGCCAAGGCGATAAGTTAGCGATGTTGTCGAAAATGGGACGCCGGCAATTTCTATCCTTCGCCGAGAATCTTGCTCTTCTTTCATTCCTGCGTCCAGCTCCCACTGCCCCTCAGACCAACGCCTTGCCACACTGGGCAACCCGTAAAGATACCGGCCGGCTCCTCTCGTTTGAACGTGAGGTCAGCTTGACCAGCACTTTAGCATTCCTCTGTGGCGTATCAGACAACCCGCACCATGTCGTGGCCACTTGTGTCGAGGAACTGGCCGGCAAGAAGGGGCTCCGAATAGTCGTTGCCATCAATAAGAAACATGCGACGTGCGGGAGCGAGACCTTGACATACATTAAGGATGGGCTTGTAGATGTCCTCCGCCACCTCTCTTCGACAAACGACGGTGTGTACCCTCCCCTCCTCCTCCCAAAGAGCCGTCCTTAACGGCCGTCCACTTAATAGAAGCGGATCCCCTCTCGGAAAATCGAATTCTGGATAGTATCGCCAATATGTGCAAACACAGCATTTTCTCCCAAACCAAATCCAACAGACCTGACGCAACGTATGCCAAAAGGGACAGGGCCTTCCTAGGCATTTCCCTCCAAAAGATCCTGGATAATGCCCGCGACAACCGCAACTGCAGAGGGGCGGGAGCGAACATCGAAAGGTTTACGAAGGACGGCCAAAACCTGCTAGGCTGTTTGACAAAACTTGAAGCCTGCCCAAAGGAAGAAGTCGTGGGACATATCAAGAACGTTCTTTGCGCCGCCCATAAGCTCAACAAGGACACCGACTTTGGCAAACTTTTCGAGGGTGTTAGTCCGGCTGAGCTAGACCCGACCCTGCGGAAATGCTTCATCGACCGACTGTCGAAACTTGCCCAATACCGAGAATGTGCCTTATATCTGCTCCGAATAGCCAAGGATTTGGGTCTCTTCCGGAAGACAGAAGTTACGCTCGTCTCTCTCAAAGACCAATTATTTGCAACGAACTTGAAAGCATCGCCGGCCCGCCATCTCAATGATTGTCTTTCCCGGTGTGCCAATGGGGCTTCGCTTGCTCATAGTGTCAGGAGCATTGCCTCCAAGCTCCAGGGCTTGAACTTGGGCAACTCGAATTTTCTCTCGACCGTCGGTAACATCCTTCAGGATTCGCGTGTTCATGCCGAGGTACAAATCGTGTGCCACTACGAACTTCATCCTGTTGCCAAGATGCCGCGCGTTATTTGTTCCAGCAAAGATGCTTGTTACCTTTGTAACCGATTTGTCCAACTCCATGGGAAGTTCCATATCCCCAGGACTCACGGCAACGTCTATCCCAGCTGGCGGCTTCCACCCGTTCCCACTCTCAGCGCCGTCCAAACCCGACTCAACAAGGCTTTGGAGACCGAGATAGGGGGCATCATTAGCGACGTGATGAAGAATGATACTCCAAAATTGGTGCTGACCAGAAATAAAAACGAGAGCACCGTGTTTCCTCTGCCAATATGTCCACCCACGCCAGCAAGCTCGGTGACATTGGTGGAAGATTCCGGAAACGGCGCCCAGGCCACCAAGACCAACAGGATGCAGGAAATCCAACAATCCCTACGGAAATTCTGGCAAAGCCTCGCCCGGAGGTTATCCATTGCAACTACTGCTTTCGGTTCGGCATTTCCTAACTTGAAGAAGCCCACCGCCCAACCACCAGACGAGGATGACGGAAGTCTACCCCTAAAACGATCCACCGCGACCTCATCCGCACCACCATGCCCAACAACAACAACAAGAACAACGACGACATCAACAACAACATTGACAACGACAACGACAACGACGACAATAACAAAGACAGCCCCGCCGTCACGGAAGCTTTCTATCTCACGCGTCCAAGGGTTTCATCGACCTCGAGTTCGAGTTGTGCGAGGCCGGGGTGGATGTCGAAGGGGAGAGCGAGGGCGGGTGCGTGTACGTGGCGTGTCGCGGGGAGGTGGTGGTTGTTGATTTTGGGAGGGGGGAATGGGGGGGGAGAGTGCCAAGGGGGTGGTGGGATGGGGTGGTTGCGTGTTTTGATGGGAGTTGTGGAGATGAGAGGAGACGGAATGTAAAATTGTTGGTTCTGTGTGTGTTTGCCTCCTTTTTTCTGGGGGTAGTGTTTTTTCCTCCTGGTCATTTTTTCTCCTGGTTTCTTTTCTCTCAAGGGTGAGTTTCATAC